AATAAATGGGTAAATAAGGATTAAGTTAGAGGAACCAGATTTACTGTTAAATCCAAATGCCTATAATTTGAGAACTGCCCTCAGCAGATGCTATCTTTCCTCAGGAATGCTGGGTTGTTAGCATTCTGCCCAGAGTCAGGAGTCATGTGGCCTTCCATATACCTCCCTAAAGCAAGGTCACGCCACATAGGGACTGCAGGAATTTAAATCACATAGCTAGCCTTCAAAACCAGACAATAGGAAAAATCAACAATGGCTATCATAATGTGTCTTGTCTTCTTCAAAATAGCTGCCCACATCTTCATGTATGTTGAAATTAAATAGCACAAAACAGACTAAAACCACTCTGAACAAAGAATAAAATCATTACCGAATTTCACAGCATGATGATAGGAAATCAGCAATGGATACCATAATGTCTCTTTTTCTTCAAAGAAGCTGTTCATAGCATTATATATAAAACAAGTGATTCCCATAAACTGTCTAGAAGTTCTATGTATAAATCTCTACATGTACACCTAGTCTTTCTTCAGTAAAGGGGAAAACAAAACAGAACAAAACAAAACAAATTACTAGAAAAACAAGAAACACAAATAACAATAGCAGAGAGCCCAAAACACTGATATAGGCCTTCAAAACAAGGTGGTAGGAACATAACTAAGGTTGTTATTTTACATAGTGACCTTTAAAAGAATTCCTCAGATCACCAGACATAAACATGCAAAATTGTTCTAATCTCCTGTGTGTTTTAATCAGTTTTATCCTATTTTGTTTTGTATGAATGCATTGTGTGTGAACATGTAGACAACTATTTAGAAGAAAACAAGAGACACTATGGTAGCCACTGTAGATCTCCTGCTGTCTTGCTTTGAAATATATGTTATTTACATTGTTTTCTTCTGATTTGCTTTGTTCTTTTTTTAATGTTTTGTTTTACCCTATTTAAAATAAATCAGATAGCTGGGTTCCCAGATAGCCTGGTCCCCCACGGATATTAGCCAATTACCAAATGTCAAAGTTGCAAATATTTTCTCCCATTTCTCAGGTTCTGTCTCATTCTGCAGCGTGTTTCCTCCACTAGGCAGAAGCATTTTCCTGATATATGTAGCCCACGTCTATTTTTGGCTTTTGTTCTCAGTATCTGGAGATTATGTTTATGAATCATTTGCTGGAGCAATGTCAAGAAACTTTTCTCTTACGTTTTAATTAGAAGTTTTAGGTCTTATGTTTACATCTTTAACTCACTTTGAATTGACTTTTGTGGATAATGTAAGATAAAGATCCAGTTTCATTCTTTTGGACCCAGATATCCAGTCTTCCCAACACTCTGTTGAAAAGAACATCCATTTCTGTTTGTATATTTGGCACACTTGTTAAGTGCAGATGACTGTACATATTTTTTTATTTATTTCTCAATTTTCTATTCTATTCCTTTGTTCTGTGTGTTTGTTCACAAGCCTGTACCATACTGCTTCAATTACTGAAGATTACAGTATATTTTAAAATTAGCAAGTGTAATGCCTCTAGCTTTGTTTTTTCTTCAGATCATTTTGGCCATTTTGGATCCTTTGTTATTCTATATAAAGCATCTTATGATTTTTCTCTGTTTATGTAGAAAATAACATTGATCTTATAATCTTACTTTTGGTGACATGCAAATAGGTAGAGTCAGAATCTTAAAGATGTTATCTCTCTTATCATGTACATGGCAACATTATTCAAAATATTGAAAGTATGTAAATCTTCTACATGTTCATCAACAAATGAATAGATAAAGAAAAGGTGGTATATACAGACAATCAGATATCAGTCATAATAAAGAAGAAATCATATAACATGTAGAGGACATTATGCAAAATGAAATAAATTAGTCAGTAGAAGGACAAATATTACATGACTCCCCTTATGTGAGGGGAATTATGAATGCAAAAGGAAAATGAATTGCTGTTCAATGAGTATGGAGAATCAGTTATTCAAGAGTTACAGGTTCTAGAGATTTGCCGTACAACATAATACCCACAGTTAATAATGCCATACTGAATATTTCAGATTCAGTGTTCTTACTATATAAAAGAAAGAAAAAATTGAGGAAGGCAAGAAGAAACTTTTGAAGATGATGAATTTTTTACCTTGATTGTGGTAATAATTCCAAGGGTGTGTACATACGTCCAAACCCATCAAATTATGCATTAATTACATGCAGTGTTTTTGGATATCAACTATGCCTCTATGAAAGTGTAAAAAATGAAAGATAAAAGGAAAAGAAAGAAAAATGATGAAAAGACAATATGTAATATGCTTAAAGGTTTGCAAATATTAAAAATTATTATTGCTTTGTTAACATTATTAATCATTATTTCGAAGTACAAACCATACTTAGGATAAAGCTCATCCTTGTATAAACACATTTGTAAATAGATTTTGATTAGTTCAGTTTCTTTTTCAGTCTACTTCTTGTTAGATTCTGTTATGCTATCACTAGTTGTAACTCAAAATATACTTCATTTAGAGCTCATACAAGGAACATTTGCAATATACATGCCCAAGTCAAACAGTAACATAGAAACAATGCCACACTATAGACCTCATTCTTCTCACAGGGTATGTCATTTGATTAAACATTCAACCTTTTGAAATAAGAGCAAAGGAGGTTCCAATATTTTTAAGAAAGTGAACACCAGTAAAATAAAATTGGAAATTATGGCATTTTTTCCATATCCTTGTTAACTTTCTTAAGAATTACGACCTTAAGGATTATATTTCTATGAAGTATTGAGAGGGAAAGAGAGATTACCTTGGAGAGTGGAAAGAGAAAATACAAATTTCTCAGATAGATGTCTATTTCAAATAACCTTGTCAAGAAAATGTGTAGGTACAAAGGAAGTATAATTAGTTCTGCTTGCTCATTCTTAAAGTGAGTACATCTAGAGTAGTGCTAGATATCAAATATTCATTGGTAAGAAAAGAGACAATAAAGAGAAAGGAGAAAAGTACATGAGAGGACACTCCACAGGGATAAACAAAGCAGGAACAGAGACTGACCTATTGCAACACCCAAATATAGAGCTTCCCTTCTGCAACTAGTCAATCAGGGGCGATGCATGAGAACATCCCATCTAGAAAGATGTGGCCTGATTCATGCTATGCTAAGGATTCAAAATCAATGTAGAAATAGATGAATGGGAAACAAAGAACCATTATAATAATGCAGAACCAGCTCCACCAAAAGAGACACAGCACAGAAGTGAACACATACTTGTTTCCTTAAGCATCCTAGGACAAGCTCATAACAAAGAAACTCAGTGAGGAGAACTTAATATTTAAATTAATGTAATTTCATGTATCAATTACCTCCTACAGATTAATTCTTACATTCACAAATGTCTGCTACTGTTTTTTTTTGTTTTTTTTTTTTTTTGTTTTGTTTTGTTTTTTTTTTTGCATGTTCTAATCAACGTGCTGGGAGTTAAGGACACAAAAAGAAAGATATAGAAATGTTACTTGTTCACTCAATTTATATTTTTCTTTGAATTCATTAAATACCTGATCTACCAATTAAATACCAATGATCTACTAAATTAACTCATAGTGTGAGATGTCATTCTCAATTAAAATTTTATGCATGTGTGTTTGATATAAAAAAACAAAACATACAGTATGGAACAGAGAGTAGGTAGGAGTTTCCTGAGTGGGAAAGGTTGTTCATGGTACCTAAAATTATTTCATCCAGTTGGGATATGTTGACTGTTTCAATGACACAAGCTGGGTCTCTAATTTTTCAGAATTTTATTTTGTTCCTAGAGTGCATCAATCATAAAAGATATCATCTGAGTAAGTAAAACAAAAATAGATATAGTTATTCTTTGTAACATCTGTCTGTATGTAAAAGAAGAGGAGAATGTTTGAAAAAAGCTAAGTTATAATAGTAACAGTAAAAGGTGATTTTAAACTCTTCTCTTCAGTTTTAATCTCTTCAGTCTGGGCACCAAACAGTTTTACAATACTATTATCCCAACTTTATGTGCTACAGAAATGACATGCGTTGCAATTGTCAACAATGCAAACTAATAATTAGAGATAATAGCACTGCCTTTTCAGAGTCAATAGATTATTGCCAATCAAGTAGGACAGAGAAAGGGAAAAGGCAGGAAATAACATATATAGGACTAGAGAAGCAAAGAGCTAGGCAGAAGTCAAGAAGGGAAGACTTTCTCTTTCAATTCTTAATAACCTTCCTATTTATAGTAAGCTCAGGATATAATGCACTGCTTTTTAAACTTAATAATATTAAACCTTTTAGGCTTTCCATAATAATTAGGCCATAATTAAATAAATTCTTTAATGTAAAAAATGTGAATTAAGGTAAATATGAACATTTTTGAAATTATTATGAGATTTTGCTAGAGTTCATCAGTTTTACATAACTAAGCAGAAAGAAAATCACAAAGAATTGAAGAATTTTTGATAATAATAAACAAATAATATTTTAATATTTTTCTTTCAAATGCAGACTTTAAAGTGAGAAATTGATTGCTATTTATTTTTAAATGTATTGTTTTTTCTTATGATAACATTGGCATTCTTAATCATCTAAAGTTGGAAAGTGCAAGAAAAATAATTCAATTCAGCCAAGTTACACACACTAAACTAGAACTGTAACAAATACAGAAAACTTTTTAGAAATTGTTCCTTTTTGTTTGTAAGAACCAGGGAGAGATGTAAACAAACTAGATAGCACTGGAGGGTCTTTACAAGAAGTTTCTGGCTCTCATGTTGAGGCGCTAACTTGCATAGAACCTTATTTCAGAGACAATACTGAGAATTACACTCTCAAAACCTCATGACCATGCCATGACACATGAAGACAAAGAACTTGAGATAACAACTGAGATTCTCATTCCCATTGTGTTTGCCTAATCCACCTGAATGACAAGAAAACAATCTTTTACCAAGTGGTTTTTCTTTCTCTATGTTTTCACATCTCACTTTTAGGACAGCAAAGGAAGTTCATCTGGATAGACGACAACACCTTTAAGAGGTAACCTACTAATCACCCAGCACATACATAACTGTCATCAGGGAAGAATAAGAAACAATGAGATTGATTTCCTGAAATCAAACACAAAAATAATTTCTATTACTCTTGACTTTTTTTGTCTGCTTCTTGTTACTGATCTCTTTTGCTAAGAATGTGGTAGACAGGGCTGAAGTTGCAGGAGCTGAGACCAAGTGGGAGAGAGGGGAAGGGAAAAAAGCCTTAGCTGAAGAACAAAGAGGGATTGATACCCAGGTCCCAGACGAGGCTGTGGGAAGCAAGTAGAGTCAAAACATTATGTTTAAATGGAGAGTGGAGACCAGACGTCGAGGAAAGCCTCGGGAATGAAGGACAATCAAGACACTCAAGGCAGGCTTGGGAGGTGAAACACGTACAGATTTCTGGACCCAGGAGAGCTGGAAGTCATGTGCACCATACTACAGTTGAGCCTGTGGGTGGGGTGGAATCTTGAAGCTGAGCTGTTCAGTTGCCTCCTTACATATAAAAGTTTTCTAAAATAAAATAGGAATAAGACAATAAGTTTGCAGAAAACAGTGCTATGAAAGTAAATCCAATCTGCAAACCAAAAAGCAATTTGCATTTTTGGGTGCTTAAAATAGATTAAGTATCTGAATTACTCCAAGTTTAATAAATCAAAATGTTATCTTGCCCGAAAAAACTCATTCCTTTCACAGTTTATGGGCATGAAGATGAATTTGTCATTTTGTTAGAATCCGAGGTTTTATGCCTCCTCTGCCAGTAGAAATTACGCTTGTTATTGTTAAAAGCTGTTCCACATGTAGTGATTTTATTAATCAGGATAGAGTAGCTTTTACCTCGATAACAAATGAACTATGAAGCTCCTGTTACTTAAAACAACAAAGGTGAATTTCTCGCTTATACTACATATTCAGCCTGAGTCAATAGTACAGCTGTTCAGTGTCGTATAATCAGGTAAAGAAAGCTAACAAGATCCTCCATCTGGACCATACCTGGTTCACGATAACAGAAAAACCGACTTAGGGGAACACAGAGGTTCGCGTCACCTCTGCAGGAAGTGTACACGGCACATCCTTACACATCCAGAGTCCATCTAACAGAGTCCATCTGACATTCCAGGGAGATTTAGAATATTAAGTCTCATAACAGAGATAGAGAGAACTGAAATTTGTGACCATTAATAATGGCTACCGTCTGATAATTTAAAATACTAAGGGGAGATTCTCAGAAAGTCATCCTCAAGAGGAGACCTAAGGGAAACCAGTAAGGAGACAATAATATTTGAGGACATGGGCATAATCAAGAAAAAAGATCAAAATCTCTAAAGAGAAATTTAAAATTAGGCATTTTAGTTGTTCCATAATGTATAGTTACTATACATTCGAGATTTCCTTAAACACAAAGTGAATAAATGATATTTAGTAGCTAGGCCCATCAAAGTTAAGGTAGCTTTTGAAAATGTCATATGGAAATCTGTTTTCTGCAAACTAGAGAAAAAAGGAATAACAGTGAAATTAACATTCATATCGATCACCCTATGGAAGTAATACTCCCATACAAAATTAGTCCTCAAAGTGAGTTCAAAAGCATAAGTAACCTCAGGAGTGAGCTTTCATGACTAGCTAGTAAACAAAAGCAAGCAAACAAATGAGAAAGGAAAACTTAGAAAACCCTATGGACAAAAATAAATCATTTTTCAGCAAAGAACTTTTTCTTTTTAGTACATGTTTACTTACATAATGTTTACTTGTGTGGAGTTGGTGTACACACATAACCCTTCTTAATTCTTTTTCTCATTCTACTTCTCTTCCTCTCCTCTTTCCCCTCCTCCACCTCTTGGTCCCCTTTCCATTCGAGAAAGTTCTACCTCCTGACTTCTTATTGTCTATCTGTTTTTGCTTTCCACTTACATTGTGGATTTTTCATATAGCAGGAACTGTGGGATATTTAAATGTGCATCTGATTTATTTTACTTAATATTATGGTTTCAAGGTACATCCATTTTCCTAAAAAGAACACAAGTTTATCTTTTAAATGGCAAAGTAGTACTCTATTGTATATAAATGCTACATTTTTTTTAAATGTTACATTTTTTATCCACTCATCTGCAGATGGACACATAGGCCATTTCCAAGATTTAGCTCCTGTGAATTGTGCTGCTGTAACATGGTTAAGGGTGTATCACTGAGAAATGATGTCTTTAACACATTCAAGAAGATACATAGAAGGGAATAGTTAGGTCAATGGACTTTCTAGTTCTAAGTTTTGAGGAATCTTTTTTGGAGTTTGCAGAGAGGATTTTTGATGGCCATTATTTTTCAACTTTTTAAGAACAATTAAAGACAAGGAGTAGAGAGCAATTGTGGTATAAAAACAGTAAAGTTAAGGTTCAGAGACAAAGCTATAGAAGACATAAAGGATCATAAGCCTGATCAGAAAAGGACTAGAACCCCATTGGAATGTGTCAGTTTAGAAGCTGAAGGTGTTTTGTTTTTTGTTTTTTGTTTTAGCAGAAGATAAATAGATTCAACTTTCCGGCGGAGACAAAGTGAACGAGTTAGGAGGGAATTCTTAGACAGTTTTGTTTGTATTGTAACATTTTAAAAAAATCGAATCTTTGGATATTGAAAAAGTTTCTATTTCTTCATATGTTTGTAGTTAAAGCCTTGACAACTCCAAATAGGGCTTTTTGTTCCAGAAAATACAGCTGTGATGGTCATGAAAAAACCAGGCTCCATTGCCAGTAAATAGAAATGAGGGTAAACAATCAAGATGCCTTATGCCCATGGAAGCAAAGGGAAGATAAATGGGTTAGTCTAGAATGCTGTCAGAGCCCAGTGGGAGGACTTTGCCTACCTTAAAGTGATCAATTCAAATTAGTTGGCAAAGGCCATTGTTATTCAGATTTCTGTTTATTCCTATAACATTACCCACAGATTCTCCCAGCCATGACATGTCTGCAAGGTGGAGAAGGCAGATCAGCTACTGAATTTCCTCACATCCTGGCCTTCTAGGCCCACCAGAGATATTGTAAACACATTTTCTATTTGCCTATGCCAGGTACTGATTTAATTGTCAACAACCCAAGAAATAATTTCAACTGAATACCATTTGTCGTGTCACCCCAGGTTAACGCCGAACCATTGATAATATTTGTCAAAATGCAACATTTCAACCAGCTGTCTTTTTTTCACAGCACACACATGCACAGATGCTCACAGGGAATGTAGACTATAAAAGCAAGCCAATTGGTCTTGACAGCTTAGTAAAAGGAACGTATAATTTACCTTTGTCCAAGTCAGAGTGAGTTCTTATTTTAGAAAAGGAATGATTTCACTTAATGAAATTTAATTTCTGAAGAGTTCAGGGTAAAGAAATGTAGAAGACATCCTGAAATGACAAGAAGACAGGAAAACTTTCAAGATCATACATCCTTTTTTTCAAACCAACTGTACATAATTGCAGTAGTTACCAATGATTGACATAGGATTAATAGTGGAAACCTAATACTTAGTAAAATGCAAAGGTACATCAGTTTTTTACTGGGATGCAAAAGAATATCTGACAAACAAATTAGCATCAGTATTCAGCTATATTCCTGGGGGGAAAAAAGGGTATGTAAAGAAACAAGAAGTCAGATATAACCTTTTACAATTAAAGTGATATTATCCTTACACGAGTATTGGGATTTCCTACAATCGAAAAATTTTTTCCAGCTTTACAAAAATATGGAATATTGGAGCAGATGTGTCGCTAGCTCTTTCTCTGACATTTTCACAAGTACTGTTATTCTAGTCAAGTAGCAAACAGCTGTTAAAAAGAAATCTATGTTTGAGACTTGGGAAGGAAAAGGAAGCCCCGTATTGCTACATTCATTTTTAACTTCATTCCAGGCATTGTGGTTCAGGCCAGACATTACAAAATCATTAATCCAGAATACAGTAAATACACCACCATAATGCTGAGACACATTTTCTCTTCACAGAGAACAGGAGAGCTGGGGCCAGAGTGCTGAGTTCAGACAGTTCAGCAAGCACAGGGAGGCTTCATGGTATCTGGAGCAAGCAGTCTTGGTGACTTGGGATTGATTCTCAACTTTACTGTTCCACATGTAAGCAGTTCCTATCGTTTTAATATGCTTTCGGTGGTCTGTGTGGCCCCAACACATAAGGAAATAAAAGAGCGTAAAGAGACATAAACCTGCAGTTTTTAAGAAAAACCCAACAAAGAGCTGTTCGATCCTAAAATCAGCTGAGATTCTCAGTAGCTGTACCGTAGGGATAAACTTGGCTTACTTCCTGGCTGGGGCACTTCCATCCCTTCAGCATTCCAGTAGAAAGCTGATCCGCAAACCAATTCAAAATCACATGGTAGCCCACACCTGTAATCCTAGTACTCTGGATGGATGAAGCAAGAAGATCTCAAGCCCAGAATGAGAACTTAGTGACTTAGCAAGACCCTGTTTTAAAATAAAAATTGAATAAGGGCTGGGGGTGCAGCTCAGGGTAAAGATCCTGGATCAAATTTCTCATAATAAATAAATAAATGCGAGTCATTCACTCACCTTCTCTGGAATCTGATTTGTCTCTAGATCCAGAGATGTCTATTCTGTGAAGTAAACTTTATGATCCTCCATGGATTGGAAAAAGACCATAGAGTTCATATCTATATTTTCTTGCTACTTTGAAATCCTATTTAAGTGTCTCTAATGTATTGTGCACAATACATTAGAACATTAGAATGCAAATGAAGTAGTAAATAAGTTTTCATATATGTGGACACATTTAATTTTTTTAATTAATAGAAGCATACAATAAAAATGGTCCTAAAAAGTGGAAACCCTCATTCTAGATTACCCATAGCCCCTAATGTTCCTAAGAAGGTAAATGAAATGAAAAGACCTTATTGTCATAATTACCTTCCCAGTGTCACTCCAAGGAAATTACTAGACCAAGGATACTAATCAGAATATGTTAACAGTGCATCAGAAGACCGGAAAAATGAGGAAAGGAGAAATAATAAATGGAAACTGTTTTCCTTAGGTGACATTTTTCTGCAATAACAAACACTTAAACAAAAAAACTCAAACTGCCCACCTTCCTTATCCTGGCCTCCCTGGCATCCTCTACTTTGATATGACCATGGCAGCTCTTGGAGAATATTCTGTTCAACCCCAGGGATAAGATCCAGGGCAAAGGCACCTTGTGAAGGAGACTGTGTGTAAGAACAATGTGAATCTCCCAGGGATACTCAGGAAAGTGAAAACTGCATTTCAAGAAATTTCAGCTTCCTCAGAAAATGAAGTTACAGAATATGGTTCAGGCAGTTTGCCTAGAAGGAGACAGACAGTGAGGGGAGAGGACTGAACTCTCAACTGAAAACCAAAGGTCATGTTCAAGGTCACAGTTGTAGATGGTGTTCCTTGGGCAAAGTCAGCCTGTAGACTTGGTGTGTGTGGTCATCCATCTTTTAAAATCTGCTGAATTGTTTCTAAACATTTAATAGATGAGTAATTTAATACCAAATAACAAAAAGTCTACCTTTGTGTCTCCTCTTCATAAATGAAAGGTCTGAAAACACTGAGCCTGCATTTCTGAAACCACCAGGGGCTACAGAATGTTCTACTCCTTATAGAGAGAGGGTGGAGGCTCTCATGGTCATCGAGTCCTCGATGTGACAATACTATCACCCTATGCTGATTTCAACTGTTCTGAAGTCACAGGCACAGCAGTGACACAGAAAGCTGAGAGAACTCAAGAAAGAAAACAAGAAACCCTGAATGCTCAGCCGTTTTCACACTGCTTCCTCTAAACCCACTGCCTACTCAGAGCCAGGCACTTTTCTCCAAATAAGTAATAGGAACACTCTAAAGCAAAGAGGAAAGATGACTCACTGCAATTATATTCTAATTGAGAAAATGGGACAGTGAGTATCAGTTATCAGTGAAAATAATATATCTTGAATGCAATCATGAACCAGTCACTGTTCTTCTTCCTACAGAAACTCCATCGCAAGGAAATAATTACATCCCACTTTACAAATAGGAAATTGAAAGCAACTCAGATAGACTCACAGCTAATAAGTGATGTAGGAATAATGGGCCCTCCAAGTCTGGGTCTGAGGAAAGGTATTTAATCCCTGAGCCATGCCCTTAAGTACTAAGCAGAGTGCTACCAAAGACAGGTGTGAAAAGGAGTGACCAGGCAGCTGTGCTGGATTTGGAGGGCAATCAACGCCTTTCTTGGGAGGTATCGATTAAGTTGAGATCTAAAGAATACAGCTATACAAAACCTGAAGCAGGAAGAGCATCTAATGCAGGGGACTGTAGTCACAATGAGATTGGCCTGTTAAGCTCCTGAGATGGGGTGACCAGCATGGTTGGAGTTTGATGAGAAAGGAAAAAATTACAAATATAGTGCTTAAAAGAGAAAATTCAGCCCTGTCCTAAAGAAGTTTAGATTTTATTGCTACTTGGGACCCACTGAATGGTTATAAATTGAAAAATGCCATAATCTAATTGGCAGTCCCAAAAGACAGTTACCTCACATTTACCTGGGCTCCGTAGAAATTGACCTCAATCTGTGTTTCTAGTTCCTCTTCCAGTATTTCACCTTAATTCCTTTTGTGCCCAAACCTCAGCATCCTAGGACCTAGTATGATACTGTGGAAACAGCCCTGATTTGTAGCAGTTGCCAGTTTCCATGGTGTAAATATTCCACCTACCCAATTCCAAGCTATTTAGCAGTTGGACAACAGTTACTTAGCAACCAGCTGTTGGATACTAGCCAATTATTATGATCTGATTTGCAAAGACTTTCATCCTAACATCTTGGCCTTTTGAAATTTACCAAGCACTCATGTGACACGACTTTCTATATCTCATTCTCTTTGCCTATAAAATTTAGCCATTCTAGAGCTGTATCTAAAAAAGAACATTGGGTTTCCAATAAAATTGGATTCAACTATTAGCTTTGTCACATGATCTTGGGAAAAATCTTCAACATCTTCACCACGGTCAACCTGTTCCTAATGAAAAAGTACAACATAAAACATTTAACAGAGTACTTGGAATACTTCATAAGAATTTGTCACTGATCTTCTTTCCTTCACAGCCCTGATTAGAACTGGCAGAAGCTAGGAAGTTTGTGAAGATCACCTTTGCACATTCTGTCTTTGGAGAGCTGGGGCCCTGCTTACCTTTCTTTTCTCTTACTTGCCTTCCAGGAGCTACCCAACAATCTATATTTTTCTTCCACATAGTAAAAGAATTATCACATTGTATAAGACGTATCATGTATATAAAAATCAATTGTGATTGAAACATCACCATTTATTGTATAAGACAGCTGCCTGATAAAAGAACATATTCAAGATTCTGGTGATAGCCATCTCCTGGTGTTGCATTTCATATTGGATATTTTTAATTTTTTTTCTTTACAGGTTGCCACTTGAGGTAAGAAGCTGAGTCATAGCTCCCTCTTGTCTGTCTTTACATTCTAGAATCCTAGACACCTCATATTAATATTTAGTTGTATCAGCATCAAAAGCAGAAGCATCTTTATTCTATCACAGCTTTATTCTATCTCATAACCTTGTTTGAGTCTCAAACTCTCTGAGATTTACCACATTCAGATGAATTTAGTCCATGACTTCTCTAAAATTCAATGATTCTATGTTTTAAAATATTTATAAACTCCAAAAGCACCTCTAAAGCCAACAGAAAAAATACATTTGGCACTCTTCTTGTGAGATTAACACAAATAAATCTATGTAGTCCTTTCTAGAAAATCAAAGCAGAGTATTTAGTCAATTGTATGAATAACTCAGAAAGAAAGAAAAATGAAATAAAACAAAGCAAGAATCTATATTTTTTAGGATACCAGAATTCACTTAATTTATAGTCTTTTACAGTAACCACTGGGGGAAAAAACAGTGTGTTCTGTATCTCTATTTAAGAAAATAGAAAAGTTATATTTTCCTTTAAATTCAGAATTTTTAGAGCTCTTGTTCAAAGAAATATTCTAGCAAATAGCTAATAAAATGTATATAAAATAACCCACTTGTTGAGTATCTCAGCCAAATTTTAGAAGATGTTTTAAAATACTGGAAATGAAGTCATCCATTAGATGGGATGACTGCATTCTGTTATTCTGTTAAATTCATTATGTTTTAATCAATATATTCATGGATACAAAATTCAGAAAAGTGCCTGCCCTAACATATGCATCTAAAGTAACTAATTTGTAACTCAAAGATTGGCATTGCTGTGTACTAAATCACCCTGATGCACTGTCAACACATTTAAGCGAGCTGTTTGTTAGCTCCTGAAAGCTAATATGCAGGGAATAATGTACCCTGAGTTTTGCAACCAATAAGGCCAGTACTATTTAAACTGCTAAAGTGGTTGTATATCATTATACAATAACACAGAGCTTCAGTGCAAAAACAGACAGCAACTTACTGCTAAGCTTTTTATATTAACTGGTAAATAGTCACCCTGATCAAGGTCAGAAGAATTTTGTCCTTCCACACATTTCAGGGGACTTAAGTAATAAGCCCCCAGGCATTGCTTGTTATCTGCCATTTCTTACACAGAGTTGGTTGATACAGAATCTTTTCTGCCATGTTGCACAGCTCTACCGTTAGCAAATTTTCATTGTGGAACATGTATAATTTATATTATTAGTCACATTTTTCTTGATTGGGTCTTGCACATCTCTGACCAGCTTAGGAATGAGAGATATCAAAATTGAAAGGGAATGTGTGAAATCTTAACAATTTAAGGTCTTACTGAAAACCATGCGCCCCTAAAACAAGAGATAATAATCAATTAAATCACTCGCTTTTTGGGGCATACATGGCTTTATTCTTTAAAGTCCTTTAAAATGCAGATTATATTATCAATTATCTAAAACTTCAACTATCTCCCAAAATAGAAACTTTCCTGTCTCAACTAACGCTGATATGGTGATTTAGAAAGAGTTCAAAAATTAAACACTAACATCATTTTACTATAGTTGTGTGGCTATTAAGCTGTCACTCATGAATGTGTAGACACTCAAGCATAGTATCTATAACATAATATCATCTGGATTTTGGAAAATAGCTATTTTCCTTTAAAAAGAGAAATCCACAGTGCTGCCCTGCCGCTGTCAGTGGTCCACCAAGAAAGTTTAATGATTCATGTTGCTGGAAAACACAGCTAAGTATGGCTGGTTGTTTTTCTATCCAGAAAAGTCCACAGAGGCCAAGAAAGGCTGTTTATATATCCAGCTGCTTTTTCATGAGAGGGCAAGAAAATCCCATCCATCACATACACATGTTCCACCTGGCTTTGGGGTGGCACTGGACCCCAGGCAGGCTTAGCATTGAAAGTGTACGAGCCACAGACCTTTGAAGAGGCCCCAGCTGTACCTGTTGCCTGAGGTGAACCGGAAATCCCTGATGACTGAGGTCTTCCGGTGACTTGACATTCCTCAGGCTTTACTGGAGAGGTGGCCACAGCGTGACTCAGCTCTGAGCCACGGCTGGGCCTTCCTCTGTCCTAAAGGAAGGATAGAGGAGAGAGAGAACTGAATGTTTGCTAATGCAACTGCCATCTGCCACCGCTAAGTCTTATGGTGACAGAGTGCAGGTTAATGCCAGATAGACTGAGAACACTCGCCATCTGTTCACTGCCCTGAAATAAAATTAACTAGGTCATCTGGATTTGGAAGCCTCGCTGGAACTGTTGACATCTATTCCCAACTTAAGGATAGAAGTCTTTCCCCAAGTTAACATCATTCATATTACCCAGAGAAATAGATTCACTGTAATTCTTCTAGCGGAATAAGCACAGTTAGTTGATGATACTTGATAATAATCTATATGTTAACCACCAATAATGGAATTGTAACCCTTATAGTATTATACTTTAAGTAGTATTACTAAGTGCTGTCCAACCGAATGCTTCTACAGGAAAAAAAAAAAAGTATAAGTTTAAGAATGGCAAAATGACAGATGTAAAAATAATAACAAAGTACACATGAGTGACTATAATTAATCAAGATAAACTGCTTTTAAATTAATAGCCTTTAAACTTTTTCAGGAAAGAATACCACTCTTTAAAAAATGATCTTACTAGATACAAATTCCCATTCCATGAATGACATACATATTTAATACAGATTTATTAATTATTGGAGAAAGGGTTTAAATTGGAAGATTTGATTCAAGAGTTACATATTTGTAGAGCTGCTATTCTGAGTGTAAAAGGCAGCATGCCATGGGGAAAGTTTATGTATTTGGAAGCCAGGCCCACACCCTATCAATGCAAATAAACTTGATCAGTGACCTGAACTCAGTTTCAAAGAGATTGTGAGTGCTTGGGCTGCGGGGGTTATTATGTCCTGACTAAGACTTTATGCTAGATCCGGAATTCACTCTCTCTGACCTCCAGCCAAGAAAGGAAGTAGCGTGGATGAGCAACTTCTCTAGGGATTTCTCAGTAGTGGAAGCTGAAAGGAGACAGCAATTGAGGAGCCAGGCCTGAACTGAGCACATTCTGCATTTAGATGGATTGTCTAAGCCCTCACACAGCAAGACTGCTCTATGACCTACAGACTTCTGAAAGACGAGCTGCTTGGGGCAGGTGGTGGTGTTGGAGCCAGCATAAGAGGAAGGAAAGGGAAGGAAAGGGAGTCAGAGAGGAAGGAAGAGAGGCCTTATATGTCCGCCTCCTTCAGAGTCAAACAGTCTAGAGTTGAAACGGGAGCACTCGTGTCTCGTGCTCATTTACTAAGTTAATCACATCTCCAATCACTACAGCTCTTGAGTTGCAGAATGTGTGTTCAGGGTACTTTCAGTTCCAGGCAGACAGGAAACAGTAAATGTTAGCTTTTGTTACTGTTGTTATTAATACTATTTTTTACACCATAAAGGGAAGAGAGGGAAGGGAAAAAATTCTGAGTCTTGTGCAAAGCTTCAAAGCTACTATTTCTTCCAGTTATCTCAAACATCCATCTTCAGCTCAAAGAATCCGCTCAAATTTGGATTCTTCAGGTAAGAAGCAAAGCAAATATTTGGCACAGCAAAGGGTGAGCAACTTGCCTTAGGACGGATCTTCCCAACAGGCCCTCCCATACAGGGAGTGTTCCAATCAGATAGTTGCCAGGCTTGCCCAGAATTTTTTCTTTCAAACAAAACTGATTCAGTCAGTTGGAGAAGGTAAAATTAAAAAGAGCTTTTCAGTTAAATCAACCCTTGCTTTTCGACTAGTTTTAATGAATCTTGGTGAAATGCTTTTGAAATTTCCAACCTGATAATCAAAGCAAGGATAAATACAACTGAAATATCTCAGATCAAAAATTAGTAAGTAAATACAAATGAGAGAGAGAGAACAAATTCTTAATAGCACAGCTTGAAAACTAAATGTAGCACTACATAGGGAATAAAAATCACCAATATGCACAAATTCTTGCAAAATAAAATTTGGGGTACTGATTACCACATCATACCCTCCTGAGAAATGGGGAAGTTTCATTATTTCCTGTGAAAAGTCAAGACACAAAATGGTATTCGCTTTTATGGTATCAGTGTACTGTGCTTCTGGGGAAGTTTTCTGAAAAGATACTTTAGGTTTAAAAGAGAAAAGCTCACACTTAGTTTTTTGGGGAAAAATGCATTTTCTTTGACAAGTAAATAATAACAAGGTTCTTCTAAAACACTTAAGAAAAAAGGAAAGTAACTTTCACCTTAGCAGACAGAAATTTACAGTGAGGGGAGATGAGGCAAGAGTCTAAATCTTCATGTCATTTTGAATTTATCAGATCAAGAAAGGGAAAAAATAACTCCAGCTGTTACCATCAAATTTCCTGGTTTACTGTAACTTTTTGAAAAGAACTGTATTATAGTAGAATGTTGCCTCTCTAGCATTCCAAAGTGAAAATTTGTATCTAGGGAGAGCCCCACACCCAATATGCCTCACAAGTTCTCAGGTAGATTGGATGCCTTCCCTAATTTGGCATAACCTAGAGCTCTCACCCGATAGTTCTTAGTATGCCTAAAAAAATATGTTCATATAATGATAAGAACAATCAGTATTCTCATGTTACTCTACTAGTTCATGAATACATTCATTTACAAAACAGTCTTGTGAAACATCTACTGTGATCCAGGAGACAGACAAATGGATAGATAGATAAAGAGAGAGAGAAAGAAAGAGAGAGAAAGAGAGAGATGTTGGTTGTAGCTGCCGAAATGCTAAGAAAACAGTTTGGTGAAGATTTTTTAATACCAACAGCATTTGATAATAGATTTTACATGGTGACTAAGAAAAAAAAGCATTAGTATTTTATCAGCTTTCCATTACTCTCAAAAAATACCTGAGATAATTGACTTGAAAAATGAAAGATCTATTTTGGCTTAGAGATTTCTATGGAGGGGCACTTGGACCTTTTGCTTTGGGCCTGTGACATGGAGGCACAGAAAAGCAAAGTAAAACATATGGCAGAAAGAACTGTTTACCTCATGGGGACCAGAGAGCAAAGTTGAGAAGGGCCTGGGGTCAAAGATAAATCCCCATTACCTAACACCCTCTTACGAGGCCCCATCTCCTAAAGCTCCCATGACCTTCCAATAAGAACACAGTTGATGACAAAGACTCCAACATGATATTGCCAAATCAAAGCATTATCAAAAATTATTTCAAGTCATTTTTATGAGAGTAGAGCGCAGTCTCTTTCATTCAGATGTAGAATACTAAAAAGGAATAAGTTTGAGTCTTTGGGGAAAACAAAATTTCTATTTTATAGTTGTTTAATGTGGCCTCTTAGGTAGGTTTTATACCCAGTAGGCAGTTGGATAAATGACCAAGGTAGAAAGAAAGATACACTTAGGATTTGTTTGCTTATTAGTAGCACTAAAATCTGTGGGAGGGAATAAGATCATTCAAGTAAAAAATAAGCAAATGTAGTAGGGATGGACTTAGAACTGAACTTCAGAATATCCCAATATTGAGATAAGAAAGAGACAGAGAAGTAGAATAGGACAGTGCAGGTTATGAAGAATATGAAGACTAGGACAGTGGAGGTTAAAAAGGAGAACAAAAAAGTGGTTTCCCAAAAATCAGTTGAACAAAATTTATCAAGATTAGCTGCATCAAATTGTGATCACTATGACGTGGACTAAGAAAGGGGGTCAGATTTCACCACTAGCTGTCAATGAGGATTTGACAAGAGAGAATTGCTAAAGCTGTTGAAGAAAATGCTTTAGTAGAGAAGTGAATGGTCTTAATGGAATTGCTTCATTATACTCATCGAGGAGATTAGACAATCAGTGGATGGAATATGCAAAACGAGCCTTGGTCTAGCAAAGTAGCTCAGTAGTAGGTCACTGCTTAGCGTGTATGAGGGTTTGACCCCAAAACTGAGCTGGAGTAATTTGTCACTGTGGTGCAGAAGCTTAGCACTATGTCTGACACATAACAGATTCTCTAAAATCCTTTTTAAACATTGACCAGTGCTTTATTTTGTATTGCTCACCACAGATGGAAACCTCTAAAAGGCAGAGATGGCACTCCCGAATTTGTCATACACATTCCCAGAACATTTTCTTCTTCTATTATATTCTTAACAAATGTTGGCAATGGAAAGGAAGAAACATGGTGATTCTAGCAACGAATTAGAGAAGCAATTAGCATCTCCAATGAGGATTGTCATTTCTTCACTATCAGAGCAGATTTTGGAGACCATGGGGGTTTTAACAAAAGGCTCCAATTTCTTCAAGTGTCTCCTCTCAACAGGTACAATCTGGCTTCCAATCCTTTACATATGGATTGACCTTAGTTAATGGCTCTAAGAATAAACTACAGAAAAAATGTTATTGTTTGATTTACAAGACTAGGTCATAAAAGGTGATATGGCTTTCACTGGACTCTCTTAAGACTCAGACCTTTGGGCAGGACAACCCTACAACTGTCATGATGGAAAGATGGCATGAATAACACTTAGAGACAGAGAAAAAGATTCAAAGAAACCCCAACCATTCCCAGACACGCACCAAATGAGAAATGAAACCTTCAACAGGCGCCCAGTCCCAGCTACCATCTGACCTCGGTCACATGGGAGGTTCTGGGGAGTTCTACCCGGCAGAATCTAGTCAAATCCTAAAACTATCAACGCCTCTAACTATTTGCTACTTAATGCCATTACAGTTAAGTTGGTTTATTATACAGTAACAAATAGTGGAACAAATAACAATGCATTTATTCTGTCATGAAAGCAACTGTTTCAAACAGCAGAAGTTGTGTTCTAAAAAATGTGTGTGAAAGAGACGGGGTTAGAAGCACTCCTATTTCCTTTGGTTTACTGAAAAGAAAGTTGTTCTTACTCATTTGTTTCTATGTAAGAAACTTTTTTTCTTCTTCTATTTTTTTTTTTTTTTTTTTGGTCTTCTACTCATACGCTGACATTTTGTTGGCCATTCTTTTAATATCATGATAGTCAGGATATTGACCATTGTTAATCCCTAATTATTTTGTTATGAAATTTTTATGGAAGAGTATTTTTTATATTTTCTTTACTTATAGATA